GGCAATGGCGTATTCTTGAGATGAAGTGGTAGAGAAAACACCGGAGTCGTCAGTGCACAAAACAATCGGGTGCTTAGAATTGTACAAATCAGCTGCAATTTCATTAGACACGCTAAAGTGAGAACAAATCTCTTGTTTAGTGTAACACATAACTTTTTCTTGGATTACAATGCAAACACAAACTAAAAGGTAAAGCTAACCAAAATGGTGAATGTCCAATGAAGAGATGGTTTCGGTTCTGATGTTGGACGTCAAACAAATCTCAACCTGAAATCAAATTCGAGAAAATAAGCATAATAAGTAAAGAATATGGACCATGGAAGCACGAATAAGTCATCAATCTATATTCACAAATGTGTACAGATATATACTTATACTCAAAAATTTAAGTGGTCAGGTAAATCTAACCGGAATCTTAGAGGACTTTAATTTTTTCCATTCTTCTTGTTGAAGGCAACAAGCATGGCCAATTCTTGCAGGTAGAAAATCTAGCATTGCATTGATTTCCTCCATGTTTGGCACCTAAAAAATCAACTAAAGAGTGTGAAATAAAGGGGGTCACAAAAGCCTCCTGATTGAGACCACAAATCAACATTAAATGCTAAGCCAAACAGACCTCTCCACAGTGAAGAGTGACTAAGAGTCCCTTTTCTTTAGCAAATTCCAGCACTGGTAGAAAGGTTGTCCTATATATAAATATACTTACTGAGAAATTGTAATCTAGTTGTAGAGCTTCTGGAAGAAAATACACAACCTTAGTCTCCCCAAAAAAAGTACGGTACCTACCATTCACCAATCGCGGGATTGCCAGAAAGGTCGATTCCCACTACCCCTAAATGCCTCATTTCCATAGCAAGCTTAACCTTCAGAAACATCATATAGCAGACATCAGCAGCATTTCAGAAAACTATTACAAGAAGCTATAAACACGTATTGTCATTATCATTCCCACAGCATACGGTTTCCATGGCAGCTTCTCTGGTTTCGCGCCGGTCTATACTGAGAAGAAGTCTAACATAAATCTTCTTTCTCCGCGTTCCATTCATCCCACAGCCATTACATAGGGTATGAGCATTAGCATGACTTTCTACATCCGACCCATGAAAAATATCAACCTCAACCGTACTAACAGCCCTCAGCCCCTCCAGAACAGCCTCCATGTATGACCTCTTACTCATCCCTTTCGAATCATTCCTCTGCATCCGACAAACTTACACAATGTTAGGAAAAGATTTACAATAAAGCTAGGGGGTAAACCAATATTTGTACCCCATTTGGCCATTCCAAACACACACAAAAAAGAGTCTAGAAACACGAAAAACCTTGGGAGTGGTCCTCAGCTCCAAATATACAACGTTTTCCGCGGCAAAATCTTCAACAACCTCTTTGGTAATTCTGGCAACAGTCTCGTGGTTCGTTGTGAGAACATGAATCAAGTCAAACAATTTGAAGACTTCAGTAAGCGAACGATCGTCTGAGCATCCAAATAAATTGAAGAATAAAATTCAGTGGAACTAACAACATTGGCACTGAAAAACTCTATAATAATTATAAAAATGGGAGAAAGAGTGCACATACTCTTCAAGATAACATATTCCACATCTGAGAAAACAATTATCCCCTTCTCCCCCAATTCTCTGGCTAGCTCCCTGCGACATATATAGTACACAAATCACTTGAACAACTAACAAATCGCCTACTTAAATCAAACATTCAAACATACATTATTTTAATAATCGCCCAAAAAGCAAAATCAAAGCTTTCATTCAATGGTTTGGGTGGACATTAAAATGTGTAAATTAAACCAGACAAACAGAAGCTGTCATCCACGCTATAAAGCAGCCAAGAATCCGATAATGAAACAAGAGAGCGAGTAAAAAAAGAAAGGGAAAATGGTGAAACGAAAGAGAGAGCATACAGAAGAGTAGAGTTCCTGATGGAGCCATTGAGGTGCGCGTGAAGTTCCAGCTTTGGCATTGAAACCCACCATTCCATCCCTCTTCTTCTTTCTTCAATTTCTTATGTTTATTATCTTGAGGGCCTTTGAGTTTTTGGATAATAAAGGAATGAATAATCCTACTCTAACCCCAAGTTTGACACGCCCTATCTCAATTTGTTTTGCAATTACTATAACGTAATATTTGTTTTGGTTTGGAATAACATATAATCTTTAAAAGGTAGTGTACATTAAGGACCGTAGTAAAAAAAATAACAATATTTATTAAAATTGCCCAAAATAAGGTAGTGCATTAAGGACCATAGTCGACATGCCGTGTCATAAGTTTTGGAACACTTCTTTGAAGTGCATATTTGTGATATTTTACTTTAATAGCTAAGAATAAAAAAGAATAGAGTAGTAACACATAGATTGATAGGTAATGTTTGGAATTTGTAACTTCATAACAAAAACTAATCTTGGTCATAATCATAATAGACATATAAATAGTTACATCCTTAGTTTCGTTCCAAAAAACATGTCGTATGGATTACACATGGGGAGCTTTTTAATTTCTTCCAACATTAGAGAATCATACATTTCAAAAGCGGTAACATTAAATATCTTAAGAAGAAATTCATAATCTTAATAAAGGGCATAAAGATCATTGAAATACTTTTTGTTTGGAATTTTAACTCGTTCAGATCGTCGTAGTAAAAGTGGTGTGGGTATAGGTGGTGTCGGAATCGCACAATGATCGCAAACGAAAAATAATCCCCATCCCACACCACCAATTTGTAAACATGTAAGATGACCATGTGCAACAAAGCATTCCCAACAGTCTTCCATAAAATATGAGTCTTGAATAGTCTTGCACTTGTAACATGGGGTCAACCAACTGCCAATTCCTTTTTTAATTATGAAATACATAAACTAACTTAAAAATAAATTTTAATTTATAAAAACAATTTACAATCCGAATCATTTAATTGGTTTAAGAGGTTATTTTTGTAAAAACAAATTTTGTTTTGTATAAAAATCATAGACCATTATTTTTAAATATTTTGTCTCATTCCAAATTTAAAAGCCCACACCTATGACCAGGAGAACCCAACATTTATTACAATGGAGGCCTAACGCACACAACTTTTATTTCTTCAGCAGAATACCGATTAAACATTTAAGGGAAAATACTAGGGGTACACCAAAAGTGTACCCCAAACATCCCCACTCCCTCCATCACCACAAAAAAAAGCAAGAAAAATTCAAAAATAAAAAAATAAAAATAAAATAAAATAAATGGTAGAAAGGGGAGGGGTGTACATTTGGGTACACATTTGGTATAGCCCAGCATATCCCAACATTTAAACATAAATAAACCTACCCTAACCGTGGCCATCTTTTGGCCACACAAACACGCCGCTTCTGTTCGATCTCTCTAGATCTTCCTTTTTCGTCTTTTGGAGAACGCCGGCGATGGAAGTAGATAGAGAGAGAGATAGACAAAGAGGGAAGGAGAGAGACCCTTTACACACAGAGAGAGTACTTCCAGATGTTAGACGTAGAGAGAGAGAGATATACTCGTGAGAGAGAGAGAGAAGAGCGAGAGAGTGTTCCGTGAGGTGGAGGATCTCATCGCCGGGTAATCATCGCGGACTTCACTGGTATCTTTATTTCATTATTACTTAAGATCAAATTTTTCCTCAGTTCACACTCCCATTCATTAAGGTATGAATTTTTGTTAGATCCGTTTATTTCTAACAGATTTCAAAATTTGGAAGGCATTTTTTAAAAATTCAGAGTTATTCAATTTTAGATCTATTTAAAACAACCATGCATGTGAATTTTTGTAATTGATAAATAATAAGTATTTGATTTATAAGTGTAAATAATCTTTTAAAATTACGGCAAACCGTTTTTAAAAATTTATGAATTTTTTCCTTAATGCGTTGTTCTAAATGATGTTCATTCATCCCCAAATTTTTTCATTTGATCATAATAACATTAATTTCTAAAAACTGCTGATTTAATTTTCGAGCCTACATGTTGATGTTTTATTGAAGGAAAAATTTTAATTTTCATTTATTACTTGTAAATGATAAGATGTCTTGTTTAATACATAAAATCCAATAATTCCTTAACATCATATTAACATATATTTCGATAAACTCCTAATTTTTTTCAGCATCAATGTTTAAATTTTCTTGTTTTCCAATTTTTATTCGTATCAATTTGCATTTAAAAGTCCTTGTTTAACATCTATTGTTCTGACCAAATAAATGGGAGTGTAAATTAAAATCTCTGCTNATTTATTACTTGTAAATGATAAGATGTCTTGTTTAATACATAAAATCCAATAATTCCTTAACATCATATTAACATATATTTCGATAAACTCCTAATTTTTTTCAGCATCAATGTTTAAATTTTCTTGTTTTCCAATTTTTATTCGTATCAATTTGCATTTAAAAGTCCTTGTTTAACATCTATTGTTCTGACCAAATAAATGGGAGTGTAAATTAAAATCTCTGCTCGCACATATGTTCTTAAATCTGGATTTCAGATTTTTGGATAATTTTACTTAAAAATCCTCTAAAAGTTCATCTATATGTTTTTTATTTGACTTTAACCCTTATTTTAGTCTGTAGCTTGACATGCATTTTCTATTTTTAGCTTCTTAAATACTCCTTATGTTATTATTTCAAAACTAAGTTTGCATATCAAGATTTAGATGTCTAATGTCAATAAGTCATAAATGGTTTTTTGTAGTGCTAATAATTTTTTATCACTGTATTCTCTTATAAATTATTAGAAATTGAAAATTAATTTCCCATGTACTGTTCAGTAGCTAACCGAATTGAATTTGTATATATGTCTTGCATTCAGTGTTAAAATGTAGTTCTTCATCATAAGATTACTCATCTAATGAGTACAAACTCAATTTCAAAGAAATGGTTTGCCTTCCTGTTCCATGTGTATCACCATGCCTTGTTTTCTCTATTTTTATCATGTCATCATGCTCTTTTTTTCTTTCCATTTTATTTAAAAACCCTTTTATGTTCAATCCTTGTGTAGTTTGCAAAATATTGAAAACAATATTGTAGACAAAAGCATAAAAATTTATCACTAAAAGGAAGAACAAAAATAATGCACGGAAGAAGAAGAATTTTCCAACCTTGAAGCTCGAGGAAGGTAACTTCCTAAATTTCAATTGCTCTCTATTTGAATTTGAAAATTTAATTTGAAATATTACAATCTATTTATAGTGTGTATTCTGTAATAGGGACAACACATTTATTGCTGCCCATTACACTGTTTATATGGACGGCTCTAGGTGCAATAAATGCTTATTGGACTTCTAGCATGCGGCTCCATAAAATATTTGGTGTAGATTTTGTGAATATCTTTGGGAATCAACTAATTGAAAGCACATTAAATGCTTAGATTGTGCAAATCTATTTAATTACTTGATTTGATGTAAAGTGTGATGTAAAGTTGATGTATCACTTGGCTCAATAAAGCCTCATTTGTTTACTTTATAGAGCCTCACACCTAGTGGATTAGACCCTAAAAATAGCTGCCAAAANGGACAACACATTTATTGCTGCCCATTACACTGTTTATATGGACGGCTCTAGGTGCAATAAATGCTTATTGGACTTCTAGCATGCGGCTCCATAAAATATTTGGTGTAGATTTTGTGAATATCTTTGGGAATCAACTAATTGAAAGCACATTAAATGCTTAGATTGTGCAAATCTATTTAATTACTTGATTTGATGTAAAGTGTGATGTAAAGTTGATGTATCACTTGGCTCAATAAAGCCTCATTTGTTTACTTTATAGAGCCTCACACCTAGTGGATTAGACCCTAAAAATAGCTGCCAAAAGTGGTCTAATTTTCGGCCCAAAAACACCCACCCCATCCGGTCCTTTACTGTAGCTCTAAAATGGGTGGGAACACTGTTCACAATGCCCTCTTAGCATTGTATATAGTAAGATGTGTGTCTTTAGATGATTACCTCTAGTCCTCCTATTCTTGAGTATTTATTTATTTTTTACTTTTTTTAAAATTGATAAACTTGATCTCAAATTAAATAAAAATAATATAAAATATTGATACAAAAATTGTTTTATTAATATTTTAAAATATTATTTTATATAATTAATATATAATATATATTTTATTTAATTATACGTCAAATGTTGAAGACAATTAACTATGATGTGGGAGAGAGTGGGTGAGAGCAAGAAAGCATTTTCTCACTACTGGGAAGCTTAAAAACATTTTCAGGCAAAGCAAAAATGATATGGAGAATAGAAATGTTGAGAGAGAGTAGTGAGGAAATTTTATTCCCTCACCATATAAATCAAATGAATTATATGGTTAATGATAAGTTTTAAACTTGATCCGAAGATCACGATGAATTTAGCAATGAGTTACTGTTAAGACTTAAGACAACAATTTAAAAAATACAATGAAAATGACAGTAATTTTTTTAAAATTTAAGTTTAACACAAAAATGCTCATGATTAATACTTTTCCGTCTTCCAATAACTTTACTACTTGTTTAATTTGTAGTAAAAAACTAACTTTTTTCATAATTATGAAGAAAAAGATATGTGATTCACAACACTTCTTTCAATTTTCTGAGCATTATCTAATCACTCATTTTTCTAGTTTATATCTTAGAAGAGTTGGAGGACCTTTAATGGTGAGTGCTTGATGAGTTGCATAGTTTAAAGTTTAAACAATTGCATCTTATGAAAAATTCTCATTAGAACTAATCTAGGTGGCATGTAAAGTTGCTTACATATAAACACAGATGCTTTCATAAAAAATCGTATCTTAAGATATATAAAAAAAACATTTTTTATTAACAATCAATAAAATTTTGTGTAGAAAATTTATTTTTAATGAAATAGTAATAATAATTATTTTTAATGAAATGACGTTATAGGACCATTTAAGATAACAAATATTTGTATCTTGAGCTCTTTTCCTCTAAACATACTCTTAACATCTTTGAAACACTTTAACCAAATTTTCCTAAAATAATCAAAATTAGAAAATTATTTTTGAATGTCAAAGACTCAAAGTATTGATCAATATATTAGGAGTTGGGTCAATGTATCCATCTTATTATTATCCAAACAATTATTAATTTCTTTATATTTTCTCTTCTCACCGTTTTCTTTTTCATCATTTTCTTTCCTACCGTTTTCTTTTCTCATCCAAACAAAGGGTAAAAGATCGACTTTTTTCTATGCCCGCAGGGTTTATGAAATCTTAAGAACGAACTTGCAAATTTCACTATTATTTATTACTCTATTATTACATTCAATTTACACATTCTTGAATATATAGAGCCTTATTAATAGCATTAAATAATCACGAATTATTAAATAAAACCCCTTCTTTTCTTCCTTCAGAATTGTAGCCTTTCAGCAGCCAAATCAAAGATTTGCTCCAACTCAAGTTTGACTCCATCACCAGCAAAGATGAAACCAATGGCATTCCTTGCCAGCTCAAACATTTCTCTCTTTTCTATGCCTTTTTTTTTGTCAAAACCAAAACCACACCAAGTCAAAACAAAAGTTATCATAATCATCCTATGTACATTAGACGTGTGTGGGGGTGTGGGGTACCGAATGCAGAAGAGGCAATGGCGTATTCCCGAGACGAGGTGGTAGAGAAAACACCCGAGTCGTCAGTGCACAACACAATCGGGTGCTTACAATTGTACAAATCAGCTGCAATTTCATTGGACACGCTAAAACAAATCTTATTAGTTTAATTGTAACACATAACTTTTTCTTGAATTACAATACAAACACAAACTAAAAGGGAAAGCTAACCAAAATGGTGAATGTCCAACGAAGAGATGGTTTCGGTTCTGATGTTGGACGTCAAACAAATCTCAACCTGAAATCACATCCTACATTACAATCCCGACTTAAAGATATGTAGATATGTCTTTACAAGAAAATTTAACTTTTCTTTCTCGAAGATACATATATACTTATACTCAAAGACATAAGTGGGTGAGCAAATCTAACCGGGATCTTGTAGGACTTCAATTTTTTCCATTCCTCTTGTTTAAGGCAACAAGCATGGCCAATTCTTGCAGGTAGGAAATCTAGCATTGCATTGATTTCCTCCATGTTTGGCACCTAAAAAACCAACTAAAGAGTTTGGAATAAGGGGGGTCACAAAAGCCTCCTGATTGCGACTACAAATCAAAAATTCAATGCTAAGCCAAACCCACCTCTCCACAGTGAAGGGTGACTAAGAGTCCCTGTTCTCTTGCAAACTCCAGCACAGGCCAAAAAGTTGTCCTATGTATTACAATACCAATTCAGATATTGCAAGCCAGTCTCAAAAAGCTTCTCAAGAGGGAAAGTTAACCTCCTACTTATATCAAGTATAGACTAGAATCGACTCAAAGTTAGTAGAAAACCAGTGTGAGAGATACCCAAGAACCCCTCATCAATCGAAGCCAGACTGGGGTGCCCAAACCAAAAAAAAAACAAACAGCCTTGCCCCAAAACATCGATTGGGAAGGCGTCCCATAAAGACAATGGAATTGCAACCGTAAGCTTTGAGTTTCTGGTTGAGTTAATTCCATGAAACCCGGATTGTGAACAAGAACGATGGGAAATAAAGAAAGAAAATATCTCCCCAAACACAATACGGAGTATATGGCACCTACCATTCACCAATCATGGGATTGCCACAAAGGTCGACTCCCACGACCCCTAAATGCCTCATTTCCATAGCAAGCTGGACCTTTAGACACATAAAATAACAGACATGAGCAGCATTCAAGAAAACAATTGCAACAAGCTATAAACATGTATCATCATCATCATTCCCAAACCATACAGTTTCCATGGCAGCTTCTCTGGTTTCGCGCCGGTCTATGCTGAGAAGAAGTCTAACATAAATCTTCTTTCTTTGTGAATGGCCATTCCCATGACTTCCTTCTACATCTGACCCACGAAAAATGTCAGTTTCAACAGTACTGACAGACCTCAAACCCTCCAGAACAGCCTCCATGTACGACCTCTTACTCATCCCTTCCGAGTCATTCCTCTGCATCAGTCAAAGTTACAGAACGTTAAGAAGAGGGTTTCTGTGAGAGCACGAAATTGGCCATTTGGAACACAAAGAAACCTTGGGAGTTGTCCTCAGCTCCAAATACACGACGTTCTCGGCGGCGAAATCTTCGACTACCTCTTTGGTAATTCTGGTGATTGTCTTGTGGTTTGTGGTGAGAAGATGAATCAATTCGAACAATTTGAGGGATTCAGAAATTGAGCGATCGTCTGAGCATCCAAATGAATTGACGACTTAAATTTAGTTGGAAATGCTTCCCAATTCAATGGTTCAATCCTATTATTAATATGGCATATTTTGAAAGATGTCTAAAAATATTCCGTCAAAACTAAGTTCAGAACAGATAATATTATATTAATGCATGGAGGAGAGAGATTGGAATGAGAGTTCTCGCAATCCCAACATATGATATCGGAAAGTAAATTTGGAATGGGCATGAGTGGCAAACAACATTTGGAATTTTGTGTTGTGTGGAGTCAATATGACCGGAGGTGACCTGCGGACTAGCGCAGTGGTGATTTGCAATTGACGTCTTGTGTCAAAAGTCTTCCCGACCTAGAAAAAAGGGACGTTGTGTATTCCGAGAGATTGTTAGGGCGGTGCAAGATTGGTGATAGATCAAAAATCGATTGTTGGAGAGGAGATCATCGAGTTGTGTGGTCTTGATTTAAGGAGGGAGATCACCGAATTGAGCAAAATTAAGATTGACATTTTGAAAGCTTATTTGGGATAATGGATTGGAGGGAAGCCAAAAATATTGTCGCTTGAAGACGAGGGGTATAGAAGGGCAATTTTGGAATTTGGACTATCACAGAAGCTAGCTATATTTACAAAAAAGTATACTAAAAAGTTTTGATATGCCCAAAGATAAAAAAACGTGCAATTACGTATCCTCATTTTAAAGAGAGTAGTTGGTTATCTCTTGATATATGACTAGTGAGAATACATGTCAAAAATATTTCATGTTTAGAGACAATTCATGTTGTTAGCATCTACATAACTATCTGTATTTGAGGTAATAAATAGTTACGTTTGAGGTATATTTTGTCACTCTAAGTGTTGTTCATTTAGCAAAGAAAAAATTTATTTCATTCGCGAATGAATTAATAACTTTGATGTTAGGTGGTATCACTTTGTATGGAGAATTCTCGAAGAAGGGGAGATCCTTCTCTAAAAGTCTCAACGATAATCCTACACAGATGTTGATCGAAATAGTTACAAGGGTCAGGTTTGAACTTTGTTTAGATTTGGTTTATACCATGCTCATATGAGTTAGCCCTTCATGGCACGAATTTATGAGAGATAGAGGGAGCATTCAAACCTCGTAACGCATAATTCTGTTAGCATTTTGTTCGACTCATTTATTTTTTTACGGGATCTTTAAAATAATTGTGTTGTCTTTTTAGGTAAAAGAAGTGTACGTGCATACTTTTCAATAAAACACATTCAGCATCGGAGAAAATAATTATGCCCTTCTCCCCCAGTTCTCTGGCTAGCTCCCTGCAACATACATAAATACACATATCACATGAACAAGTAACGAATTCCCTGCTTCAATCAAACACACATTACTCCGATCCTTCTGTCCAAAAAATATTCTTCCTATTTGAGTTTTCATAGTCTCCAATAATGTACTTTGACCATTAATATGCCAAAAAGTAAAACTAAAACTAAAGGTTCCTTTCAATAATGAAACAAGAGACCCATGGAGTAAAAAGAAAAGGAGAATTGGGCTAAAGAGAATAAAGCATACAGAAGAGTAGAGTTTCTGATGGAGCCATTGAGGTGAGCGTGAAGTTCCAGTTTTGGCATTGAAACCCACCATTCCATCCCTCCCTCTTATTTAATACGGAGTATAATCTTGCTACCTCAGCTCTTCTGATCTTCATTTTCTTCAATTTATAAACGATTAAATAATGCTACCTAACTAATACTATAAATGGTTTATATATCAATATGGAATGTATAATGTTTTTATATAAAAAAAATATGACTTATAATGCCAAATACTTCGAGCGAGAGGGTTGTTTAGCGGCTCATATTTTCACATAGTTTAGAAGCGTTGATTTTAGAAAGTTGTTAAAAGAAGCACTGAGCGCTCTCTAGTTTTTATCTATGTGTTACTATCTCTCAATCTGAATTTTACATAAACGCATCACATATGAAAGTTATAAAGTGATGTCTAACTATATATGTCAAAAAGAACGCAGAATAGTTTTTCTATTTTACATGGTACCGGAGCCATCTTGAACTCATAATTTTCTTCAATTGATTGTTCTCTGCTCTTTATATTTTCTTTGTGCTTCACCAACAACGTTTGTTCCTTCATCCTGCCAGACAATAAAAGTTCTTTACATTTTTCCTTCAAGAATAGCTTATATAAGTATTCCACTTCAAGGATTCACGGACCCTGGAATAGTTTCCAAGTATTGAATGTGCTCGCTTTTTAGATGGCATGGCTTTGAGCCAATGTAGATACACTTTTTAGATGGCATGACTTCTTATTTTTATTAAAAAGTCACTTTTATCTCTTACTTTTTCATATTTTATCTATCACATCATACCTTTTTACTACTAATCTACCCATCAAATCTTACTTTTATCCATCACATGAAATGACTTTTTTGGAAATTTAATATCAAAATACACTTCTCTTAAATCTCTTAAAAATCAATAACTCTCATATTTTTTTGAACCGGATGGAGTATAATTTAGCAGGGGTAAAATAGATTTTATAAAAGAAAGTAGAAATGTTTTGTGAAAAATAAGAAATGAAAGAAAAAGTGGTTTACAAAACGAAAAGAGTACATATTACTCGTTTTTTTATTATCCTCCTACAAGATTTTTTTAAAAGAAATCGTCCTAAATCAAAATAAAACATAGTTCTTGTTCCCAAATAGAAGTTTGTTTGGTGGTAATGTGACACTATGCATATACATTTTACGTAATGTAAATGGTCATGATTGGTAGTGTAAATGCATTTTAACTCTTATTTAAGGAATAAAACATGAAACTCGTATTTTGGTATATTTTCAATGTTTTCTTCTATTTTAGTCTTTTTCTTTTTTTAATTACTAAAACAAGCTTTTAAATGCAAGGTTAGGTCACCTTCCATGCACGTAATTAAGGAAAGGAGATAATTTAAAAGTGGCCAAATTAAAGTGGGTGATTGAATAAAAATGGGAATACAAAAAATGGTAGGGCGGGTTGATCATGCATGCCCATGATGGACTAAAGTTTTCAAAACCGTGTCCCTATCATGAAGGGGTGCTTTCCCTTAAAAGAAAAAAAAAACGATACCTATTTTCCCAAATGGCAAACTATTTTTTTTTAAATAAAAGGAATTTCACGTTGTGAATAAATCTCTGGGATGCCATTTGTCATTTGTGTTGGGAAAATTAATGATAACTTGGATGAATCGAGAGTTGTGTAAATACTTTCAGATTGAATATTTTGGTTGTTCACTCCAAAATTTAATCGGATAAAACTCGAAAGTATCAAGAACGAAACATGAGGATTGCTATGAAAAATCCGAACTAAAATCCGACCAAGGCCTGCGGGAATTTATAAACTTGCGGCAGAGGGAGAAGACGCCTATCGCGTCTCTTTCCCAAGTTACGCAATCCTTCGCGCGGAAGTTCTCCAAAATTTGGTGCTATCCAATCGGAGGTTTTCTTTTAAAGAAAATCCAAAAATTAAAATTCCAATTGAATTTTTTAACATCTCGACCCCAGCCAGGGGCTCTGCCCCTTGGACCCCGCAGGGGCTGCCGCCCCTTGAACCCTGCTCGGGGACGCTGCCCCCGAACCCCCGCCAAGGGGGCGCTGCCCCCTTGGAACCCCCGATGTAACGGGATTTTTATCGTAACAAACTCAATGAAGCGTGCACTCCGCACCACCAAACTTCGTTGATGATTATTAGGATACCATTGGTCATAGTTTTTCCAATTATACTAAAATATATAACAATTTGTGGAGTTTCATGCAATAGATACGCCAAAATTTCTATCACTCAACTACTCAAGAGAAGCAAAATATAATCTTTATTCCAAAAATAAATATAACATGTTTTAATCTTTGAAATAAGATAAATGTATTATGATAATGTGGTAGTCCCTCTATCCTAAAAACTTTTATCCAATAACTATTTACACGGTCAAAATTTTTTCTTTTCCTAATTTCATTAGTCGTTTGATAATATAATATACTCTCGTCACATTTTATTTTGTACTCCCTCCGTCCCAAAAAGATTTTCATATTTCATTTTTTGCGCATCCTATAAAACACTTCTATACACATCTAAAATGCCTAAAATTTACCACATTTCTCATTTATTGTAAGTAGAAGTTGTTTTGAAAGTTTTTTTTTGCATTTGAGGCGGGATAAAAGTGTTTTATGAGACGCGCAAAAAATGAAATAGGAAGCTCTTTTTGGGACGGAGGGAGTATAAATTTTAATTTAGTGTTTAAATATATACGAGTATTTTTCATTCTAATTTTTACATGTCTAATCCAATAAACTGAATTCAAAATAAATTTAATCAAACCTCGTAAATTAAAATGGGAAGAATGTTTTAGAACGGATGGAGTACTATATAAAGAAATCACTCTAAATAGGAGTACAACATAGAGAAAGTATCAAAATAGAAGCTTCATGTTTTTATCCTCTAAATGGTCTATAGGAGTTAAACTCTGGTAGTGTAACATTGTAAATGAATATATTTCATAATACTTTTTGGTATCGTATATGGCCATAATTAGCACTGTAAATTTATTTTAACTTGTATTTCGAGAATAAAAATATAGAACTCCTACTTTGATATATTTTTAATGTTTTACTTTTATTTTAATATTTTTTCCTACTATATATTGACATTTTACATTATTTTTTTGATATTATATATTGGCGTTATTGTCATTATAAATCCAATTTTGGAGATTAAAATATAAAAGTCTTAATTTAGTATTCGGTATTTTTAATATGTCTTACTCCTGTTATAGACTATCACACTCCAAAATCTCTATTAGTATGATACTTTTGTTTATTTTTGCATTCTGATTTATTATTTGAGAAAGTAAAATATTATTCTTACTTCTTGTTTTGCATTCAGAGTAAAACTTTTGACGTAATTTTTAAAATGTAAGGTTTATTATATTTTTAAATTCTTTACCAATAAAATGAATACAACACTTAAAATTTTACTTTGTTTTAGGTAAAATGTAAATTAAAACACTTTGGAGGCAGAGAGTAAAGCATTTCGATGTCGAAAGATAGCTGGGTGACCGTCCAATAACACTCACATTTAGACTTTGTTTGGTACGATACAGAATTAGAATTGAATTTTGTAGACCGGAACTGGATGGAATTGAATTTTATTTCAATTCCAAATCCTTTGTTTGGTATAACTAATAAGTGATACTCCAAATCATTTGTTTTGGAAAAAAAAATTGTATATAGAATTATAGTTGGACTTTCATCTTTTGAGCCCTGGTTGTTTGTGCCAGCTATTCCGAATGACTAATGGATTCAACAGGTTTCATCAGTAGGATGTGTTGGCAGAATTTTTAAATTTTAGTGCCTGCTTTTTAATTTGTAAGTTTTAATTTTTTTTATATGTTTATATTTTTAAATTTTAAGTAAAAATTAAAATTTTAATTTTTAATTTTATTTTTATTTAAATTAACTATTTCTAGTTTTTAAAAATTAAACTTAAAATTTAAGTTTTTAGTTTGTAATTTCTAATTTTGAATATAAAATCTAAATTTTAAATTAAATGTTTTTAAATTTTTATTTTAAAATTTTAAACTTTAAATTTTAATTTTAAATTTAATTTTATATCTTTATTTTTAATTTTTAATTTTTAATTTTAATATTAAATTCTTTATTTTAATTTTAAATTTTAGGTTTTAAATTTTAAAACCAAAGTTTTGAACTTTAAATATTTATTTTTTAGTTTTAATTTTTTAAATTTTATGTTTAATTATTTAATTTTTTTAAATTTTAAATTTCTAAAATTTAAATTTTAAGTTTTAAATTTAAACTTAAATTTTTAAATCTCAAATTTTAAATTTTGAATTAAAAAATTTCATTTTAATTTTTTTTGTTTTTTGTTTTTTATCTTTTTTTTTAAATTTTAAAGTTTAAAATTTTGAATTTAAATCTTTAGTTTCTAAATTTTAATTTAGAAAAATTGAAATTATAAATTATTTTCAAATTGTTAGATTTTTGTGCTACCAAATATCAGAAATAAAGTTGAAATATATAATATCAATAACATGACCTAAATTTCATGTATCAAACAAAGCTTTAAAAGCATTGTGATATTAAAGGATATCAAATCCTAATTCTATTTAAACTTCGATCGATAATTCTGGTGTCATAACGAAACAAGCATTGTAATGATCAAAAGGATTGCACCGGTCGAATCCGACTAGTCGTTTAGAAAGATCAGTATTATTTAGGACGTGATCGGTCTGTTTTTTTTTTAAATCGGTCCAGAGTAGTTTGGTCTTTGTTATAAAATATATAGAGACTTTTTGGGATCAAGTAGTCTGGATAGGACCAGTTTTAGTTCGGTTCGGTCTCTATTTTATATGATTTTTAAAATGTTATGGAGTACTTTTTAGTTTTTAGAAAATTAAAAAAATATAAATATTACTTATTTTTTATCTAATTTATTCAATTATTACACGTTGGTTTTTATCAAGTATTTATGCAACATAAATGTATTTTCCAAGGATAGATATTAAATACAACAACCAAAAATTTTACTTCTTTAGTATAAACTCGTACATTTGAATTTGTTATGAAATTAATTGAAAGAATATGAATTTTTATGTTGTATATTAATAAAATAAATGTATTTCTATTTGAATAATATGCTAAAAAAATAGAAATATTTTTGTAAAAGATATATTTTAATATTACATCAAGAGAC